AAAAGTGTCAGATGAAAGCGACACGTGAGAAATTAGTCAATGTTGGAACTTCATAAGCGCTTACAGTCGCGACTCAGAGGCATCTTCGCACCGCAACAGTACGCGTGATGTAGCGCGGAAAATATAACTGCACAAACAGAAAGCGTACAAAAGTTCAAGAAGCGAAGCCAGCAACTTTTGGGACCAATTTTTCTTCACATTTCTCATTTACATAGCATACTCAACCAAATGGGTTAAAAAACTAACTAGGAGCAACGCTCCATGAGAAAAATCAATAGTGTCGCCTTTGAATTTCTGCTTGCCGGCCGCGACTCGTCGGCATCTACTCCGCGCGGCTGCAGTTCGCGTTGCAACTTTTTGAAGCTTGATATCGGCGCATTTTTGCATGGAAATTTGACTTCTTCAAATGGTTACAATTTTTATAACAAATAATCCCTTGATTACTTCAGTTTCCCTATTCTTATCGCATCATCAGCCATCGTGACCCTATACCACACTCTCCTCCAAGAATAGGAGCTGATGCTGCATTCCATCATCGCTATGAAGTCTGGTACGCTTCACAGTTTGATCAACCATTGATTATTTTTTATTTTGTTTCCTTATTGATCTTCGGCTTAGGTACGATAACGATATGGCAGTAGGACAACCTTACACGATCTGTCAAGAAGCCGATGGAGACTATTGTAGCAATACTGTACCCGACAAAGAAGGCTCGGATCACTTGTTTTACTTCAATTTGCAAATAAAAGAGTGGGGACTTGCTGGGTGTCCTGTGGCGAATCTCACAAGATCTAAGTAATTGCTTGGAGTTGAATAAAGATAATCAGTTGTATGACGTCTTGAAAACCTTCACTTTAGATCAGGTAAGGATACTAGTACCAACACTAAGCAGCCTGTCCTTCTATGCGCAGAACAATTGCTACAATTTTCGGAGAAGGCAGAGGGAGACAGATGTAATTTGGAATATTTCATTTACAAAGGTGTGCAGAAATTGTCTCAGAAAAGTAAGAGCCAGTTTCGAACCTTTTTGTCCTGAACATCTTCATTGTGAAAGCGACTTACCGCATGATAGAATAACAACAACAATCCGCTCTCAATCAAAGAGTTTCCAGAAAAAAATTTTTGCATCATATTTGACTGAATGAAAGGAGGGCACGTGGAGGTCAGGCTGTGTAGGAAACAATAGTCCTGGATGCTTTGAATTATCACTAAGGAAGCACGATGGCGTAATGGTACGAGGCGCTGCTATGACCAGGTCCCAACCCAGCCCTCTACGCTCAGGGGACTCAAATTGGTACCACATACTTTGTTGGCTGACCCCCTCAAGTCACTGTGAAAGGGCTGCACGCATTCGGTAACCTTTTCGAAGTATGCATGCCCACAAAGGATATTGGAAATGCCTAGAACTCTGTCCTTTATTCTGTCGTTTACGTACCACTAATAAGTAGTTAAAGGATAAAGGATAAAGGATTCGGCGCCTTCAATACCCT